ACATCCACATGTATTATTTCATTTACTCCAAGTAGCAGCCCTTTAAGGTAAATGTATTTAAAGCTGCCTTTAAGGCAGGCGATGTTAAGCCCTAGTAACATAAATAAATAAGGCTTCATGAGCTTGAGCAAGTCTCTTGTGGCCACAGAACTCATGAATGGCACAGAAGATCCAGTTTCAGACCCTTTATTCTCCAGTAAATTCCTTTTCTTCACTGCGAACCCCCAAACTTCAAGCCTGTACCAGAACACTCTTGTTCCACTGCAGCTAATAATATCCCGGAGGCCTTAGGATGTTACTACATTTAGAGGAGGCTGGTATAGAGACATCTGTTTCTACCTGGAATACAAACTTTATACATTTCCTGCCTTATACTCTATGTCACAGAAAATAATTTCCAAATAATAATATTATTATAACATAAATTAATGTTATCATTTACTGTTTAGTGTGTATCAGGCATTGTCCACGATATAATATTATTTCCTTTTACAAAGTAAAAAAATGAACTAGAGACCTTAATTTATCCGAGATCAAACACCAGTGTCAGAACTGAGGTTCAAACAGGGTTTTGTTCTGACTCCAGAGCCTTGCCTTCTTTACCACTAGAGCTCTCATCTGTTATAGAGCCGGTAGGTGAACTGTGAGGTTGAGGAAGCATCACATTGTGAAAGAAGTAAAAGAGAATTAGGTAGCTCTCAGAAGGGGAAAGCAGTGGCATTTTCCTCCCAGTTGTTCCATAGATATGCTGAAAAAAGAAAAAAAAGGAATCTTTTTCATGGGGAAATAAATATAAAGAAACTTTCATACCTGCCTTGTATCCTCAGGATGGGGTGTTAGGTGAATGAATGCACAAGAGATGCCTTAGGGGTCATTTTCTTAGAAAGTTCATACACTCTCACATCTAAGTATGTTCAGTCTTCTGAGAAATTTCCCTGTCTGTGAAATATTTAAGGTAGAAGAACAAGGCAGGAACAGGGACAGTAGTGAGTCTTGGCTTACAGAAGCTGGCAGCTTCCAGGTTAAATTTGACCTGAGGAGTCTATGGACTTCCCGGTGCCCCCAACTACAGAGTGAAGCACCTGCTCTGAGCTCAGCCATCCGGGGTGTTACTGTCTTTCCACGTGGGGTCAACACCCATGAGACTGGAATGAGATCTTACCATTGAATAATTTGCCATGTGGGAAGGATTCAGCAGATCTGAATGAAGTTAACTAGGGATGTGTTTCATTAAACTCTCTAAAGTTAGGAATTTTTTAGAGTAATAAGATGGGAAGATTGGATCTGTCTCATATCGGTGATGTGATAGATAAATTTATGGACACTCTCAGCGGGTTGTTTGAACTTGTTAAGTTAAAAGGTAGAATTTCTGTTCCGCTTAATAACAAAGAGATTCTCTTTGCTGCATGTAATTAAACAAAAAGGGAAGCCATAGCAAATATTATGAAATCCTTGGCCTAGAGGTGGAAAATTGTCATCCTTTCAGGTTGATGGAAATGGAAATGGAAAGTGTTGTTCTGTGATCACTTAAGAGCTTCTGGGCAAGGTTTAAGAAAGCACATTTGTGCTATTTACAGGATGCCTAATGGCTCACAAAGTTCTCAAACAGGTTTAAAACATTTTTTATTCTATTGTGAATGGAAAACCATTGTTTATTTGCATTTCCTGTTCAGTTCCCTTTGGGTGTGCATCATAAAAGTATAAAGAAGAGATGAGAGTGTCTCTGGTTATTGTGTGCACTGTGTGCTGAGGAACTTGTCAATAAATCACGTTCAAAATTGGAGGCAGCATCAGCCTGTGAGTGAGAGGTCATCTCTGTGTCCGAGTGATTAGCTCCATTCTCTGGGACAGCAGTGGTAAGCACTCAAGCGTGTTTGAAAATGCATCTTGTTGCTGAGCTGACCCAAACATTTAGCAGCCAGAGTTTGGCTCTGGGTTCTCCAGGGTATGATTTTCCCTGAGTTCCTCTGTGCTCTGTGTAGAGGTCTCTGGTCAGAGTCCAGAGTCTCCTCAGCTAGATAAACCAGAGCAAACTCGTGTCTGGTTTCATCTTTCTAGAGGCCAGAAAAGCATGTAGTTTCTCATTTGCTTGATACTCCCCTTTAAAAGGACTTGCCCTGCCCCTAGCGATGGAGGGCAATTCTCACCCCTGCTGCTGAGTTGTTTAAAGATGAAATGCCACAGTAAAGAAACATTTCAATGCTGTAGTGTCGATGGCTGATTTCCTGCTACAAAAATAGAATTGAGTAGAAAAGACGGGGGCCTTAGGGCTGAAATGCCTGATATATGTATTCCCTGGCCCCTTACAGAAAAAGTATGCCGACTCCTGGATTATAGTAGTGTTAGGGCCATAGACCTTCTGATCTGATTATTACTAGCTTTTGGGTCTGTGGGCAAATTAACTTCTACAAGCTTTAGTTTCCTCATTTATGAAATGGAAAATACTGAGGATTACATTTTTTAATTAGATAATATATTTAAAGCCAGTACTGCCCTTGTCCTATATATGTTATAGACAGTCCCATGTAAAGTATTTAGCACAGTGCCTGGCACATAGGAGGCACTCAACAAACATATAAGCATATAAGACAGCTAATTATTTTTGCTTGTCTTCTGCCACTTTGCGGCAGCCACTGCTCCAGAGCTGTTGAAATCTTCTTGTGTTCCTTCCCCACCGCTCTGCCAGATGGCAGCTCTGTTTCCTACGCAGAGACAGAAAACAACAACTGAGATTTCATGAGCAGAGCGGCTGGGAAGGAAGGAGGTGAAGCTGTGTGATAAGGGGCGAGGAACACAGGGGTCAGCCCTCAAGTCAAAACTGTAGCAGTGGGACAGCAGGTGGAATGTGGCCCTGGGATCTGTAGGAGCTCTGTGACCTAATTCTGCAAGTCAGCTCCCCTTTCTCTTCTCTTTATGAAGGCAGGAGCGAGAAGACAGACGTCCCTGCAGATGTGGGTGTCTGCGTGGCGCACCCCTTGCGTTTCAGAACTTTGTCCACAGGTCACCTTTCCACTGAGGCCTTCCCTTACCACCTGTATTAAATCTCAACTTCCTCCTCACCTTGGACTCCCGCTTTCTCTTTCCTGCTGGGCTTTTCCCACCCAACAAATCATGCTACTCTATGTGACATACTCTTTGTTTCATTTGCTCATCAGCTGTGTCTCCCCACCCGTGTGAGTTTCACAAGAATCAGAATTATGGTCCGGTTTTTATTCACGGATCTGTTCTTGGTGCCTGTCACAGTGTCAGGTACATAATCAGTGTTTATGAAATACCTGGCGAATGAAAGAATGGAGCCCAGAAGGCCTTTGTGTGGCCAGAGAAGTACTCTGCTCGGTCAGGGTTTGGGATCAGGCTGGGGCTAGGGGAGTAAATGGCAAGCAGCCTCATGAGCTTAAGCTGCCATGGTGACCAGTAATGACATCAGCATGGTCGGCTGTACAAAAATGGGAGATTTTTAGGAAATCGTAATGCCTTAAAGACCAAATATAGAGAGCTGTGGAAGTGGAAAGAAGGGTTTGGATTTATTTTATTTTATTTTATTTTATTCACCAGTGATGTGTCTGGCATTTGCAAGGCTCTGCAAGGTGCTTGTGGCAATCAAATTTAGTGGCTGGGATAGGGGATCAGGACCATGGGCTTCCTTAGCTCAAACCATCATCCCCCAGTGGTGAGTAGGGTGGTCACTCCCTTTTGCGAAGCAGTGAACCCTAAAACTTGAGGGAGCTAGACCAATCAATTTGAAGTATGGAATTGGAGCTCCAACTTGAATTGATTCCAAGGTCTCCAAGTCAGGAACCTCAAATGCCTCTGTCTTGTGCTGCCCTTGATACCAAAGCACAGACGTTTAGGAAGGCAGCCAGGAGGAACGTGGAGAGGCGTTTCCTTTAAAGGAGGTGTGTGAGAAATGAGAGCAGTCAGGTGTTTCCTTTTACAAAGCCAACCTCCTTCACTGGACTGGAGCTGTTTGAGGGCAAGGCCTCTGTTTTGTTCATAATTGTATTTTTAGTGCTTGGCATATTGCCAGTCACATAATAGAGAGCGAATGAATAAATAATTGAACAAGTAAGTGGGCTTTATCAGTTTTGGGCTTTTTAGAGCATTAGTAGTCTAACAGGACTTCTTTACACAAGCTTGCTTCACTCTTAAAATATTCTATAATAATTTGTAATTATCATCTTTAGCATGAAGTGGACTTTGACTAAAACACGCAAAGCCATAATGGATACAACTAAATGTTTGTGTTTTTTGGAGGCCAGTAGGTAGGCAAGAAGGACCCCCGTGGGGGCGTAGATGATGTTAGGAACCATGTTCTGTCCACCGAGCCAGAGCCTTTTACAGACATGATTTCAGCCTGCCAACATTCCACTCTGATAGCATAGGGATTCTCCGTGTCTGTTTGGAAAGCTGAGCTGGTGTCAGGAAGAGAATCTTATCAATGCAGCCTGTCTGTGATAAGCTCCAAGCTACAAGGCTCAGGCTTTGGCCTGTGGGTAGATTTTCCTTCAGCTTAAGGACTTGACTGGCCACAGTGGAGACATACTAGATTGACATATCTCTGGAGACAGACACCAATGACCTTTGGTGACCAGCATCCTTCCCAGTACCTGAGAGGGGGCTGTGATGTGACTTGCTGTAGCATAGAGTCCACATTTGGACACACAGTGCCAGTAATATGCAGGGGTCAAGGTTCAAAGAATCCATTCAGGACTCACGAACATGCATGAGGGACTTGTCATGAGGCCTGAGCTGCTGAGACCCTAGGCAGTTTGAGCCTACAAGATGAACCTATTCCCCACACTAATACCAAAGAACTAGCCAGTGTGCCAGCGTAGCTGTCCAAGAGCTAACACGTCGATGCTGTGTAAGATGGGGTTTATGTTTGTTGTTTCTCTATCACAGGACTAGCTTCATTTGAAAGTTAGCTATATAGGATGGAATGCTCAGGAGGATGCCACTGCACCCCCAAAGTAACTGTGCTTCCCCGCCCTGTTTTCCAGCATGGGCTACTGCATCCTTTTTGTGCATGGACTGAGCAAGCTGTGCACTTGGCTAAATCGATGTGGGGCCACCACCCTGACTGTGTCCACTGTGCTGCTGCTGCTGCTTTTTTCTTGGAAAACTGTAAAACAGAATGAAATCTGGCTGTCAAGAGAGTCCCTGTTCAGGTGAGATTCCATGGATCAAAGCGATCCCTTCCCATTTATACTTTTCCTTGCATTATTTGTTTCCAAACAAATGAGCTAACATGGGTCTAGCAATATTTATTAATCCAGAAAAATGTTTTGGTAAAGCTTTAAATGGAAGAATTTTTAACTTTGATTTTTTAAAAGTGATATTATATAGTTTTACAGAAGCTCATGCTAAGTGAATTTATGAAAATAAAACTTGTGGGAAGGTTTTTGGGTCTTAATGATGAGTGGGGCTGTAAAAATCAGATCTAAATACATGGAAATGACAGTCTAATTTCATTGTTCAGACCAGCGAATGGGAAAGGTAAGCAAACTACAAAAAGGAAGAGAAATGCTATACATTTTCTTTAAATTTTCTAGAATATTAAGTTGTGATCTGTGATCTAGTTGCTTTATTTCAGACATTAATTTTGAGTGAGGAAATTAAGGACTTTTTCATTTCCTGGTAGGTTTTTATGTGCTGTGGAAGCTGTTTCTAATATGACAATGTCCACTTACAGTCCTAAACTTGTCATAGAGTATAAACATTCTTTGGGGCTGTAGCTCATCACACTGTGTTCCTGGGGCTTAGTCTGTCTCCCTAATGCCATAATGTTGGCCACCTTCACCTTTGCTCCCCTGTCACTACCACACTTGGCATCCCACAGTATTTTCCCATCTCCCAGGGATCCCCAGCCTGCGCCCCTTCTAGCTTCTATCCTGACTTAGGACACAGCTGGCCAGTTTAGTCAACACGGTTTTTACTTGGGTCCCTGCTCTACTGGTTCCCACCACTTTTTTTCTCTGAGGCCAACAATTAGAACAGAATTGGGTTCGCTTGGAAAAAAAGGGTAAATATTGGAAGAGCATAAGAAAGTGCACAGAATTCAAGGGCAGGTGAAGAACCTGGCATGTGGCAGACAGGAAACAGGCATCTGGATAGTCTATCTTGAGCACGTGTACTCACAGGAATGAATGGGTAAACTTACACCAGTTTTGTTTCTATTTTTACATCAAAGTCCTGGGAAAATGAAGTCCTCTGGCTGAACTTGAGTTTAGGTCATGTGCCTACCCCTTGTCCCCACAAAGGCACTGAGATGACCAATCTGGCCAAAGAAGCTCCACTGACTTTCATGGGGCAAGCTAGGGCAGGCACAGCACCTTGGGCTCCACTGAGACTTTACAAAGGGGACGCAAGAGAGAATTCCCCACAGGAATCCAAGTGCTGTAGGAGGGACAGAGACTCTGGGCTGCCAAAGTGAGTGAATGAATGAACGGATAAATGAATGAAGGAAAAAACAAATAAGAGACAATTTCACTGCACTCTTCTATTTTGAAATAATATATCTGATTCTACTACTTGGCAATTAAACTTTTTAAGAGAAAAAAATAATCTGCTTAGTCTGTCTTATTAGTTTATTTGTTAGTTCATTGTCATCGTTATCATTGCCATCATGATTATTTCAATGGATACTGTAGGGACCTTACACTACTGCTGCCATGTAGTGTAAGGGATTTTGTGTGGATTTGATTTTTTTTAAAGAATTTTTTTTTTTTTTACTTTTAGCCCTCAGATCCTTTTCAGTCTCTGTCATACCCTGCCACCTTCTGTGCAGTTCTCACACACCATAATAGACTGTTCCCTTTTACCACCCAGGGCTCGGGTCACTCTGTAAACACAAGGGCATTGAAGTTCTGGAATATAACTTCCTTTTTTTCTTTTGCTTTCAGTAGTAAGTGCTTTAATGAGGAACTTTAAAATGCCCCTGCCCTGTTGAATAGTGCCTTCCATTGAATAAAGGCACTAACAGTGGTTGTGTCCCTTAATGATTTTTACTACTTAATCAGAGCAGCTTTGGGAATGGATTTTGGCAGGCACAGTTTATTTCAAGGATAGCAAGTTAGTGTTCAGACCCTCAACAGTTGATGCCGGCAGTTTGAAAAAAAGAAAAACGCCAAGTTCATTGACCATACATCCCGAAACTTCTGTCCCTTCCATGGAAGCACGTAGTAAGTGAACAGTTGATTACTAAAACATTGCTGCCCAGAGAGGCCTCTGGCGATCCAATGGAATTTTGTGTAATGTGCAAATCAAAGCTATAGAAAGTTTTTAGAAAACATTGTTGGTTATAATTTATCTACGTCCCAAGGAAACTTGTAAGAATCTGAGATTTTAAGAATATTCTTTTTCCTTCAAGACCAGATGTTTGTATGTATTCACCTGTGCTGAGTAATGTTCATCTAATTAAACATTTACCAACAATCTATGAGGCAAGATAGGGTTAGTGGCTGAGTTTGGGGTCTGGCTATAGGGCCTCCTGGCTCCACTCCAAGTTTCCCCATTTAATAACTGTGTGACCTTGGCCAAGGTACTTAACCATTCCATGCCTTAGTTGCTTCATTTTAAAATTTAGAATAATAGTGTTTATTTCCTGGATGTAATGGAAGAAAAAAAAGGTATGTGAAACCTGCGTAGGACAGTCTCTGGCACCGGGAAACACCATCAGGGTTTTCAGATTCTTGTTTTCTACCCTGTTCTTGGAACGGGGGGAGAGGTGTCAAACTTGATAGTAGAGGAGCTGGAAGTGTGCATGGGAGTCAGACTCGTGAGTGCATTTTGGTACAATGCAGCAAGTAGTAAGCAGAAGTAGATGGAAGGTACTGTAAGTGCAGGCCGGTGACTAAGACCACCCCAGGCCTTCAAGGACTTTGCTGTAGGCCTGAGCTGAGTATGGAAGGATGAGAAACACCCAAATTAGCCATAATGGCTAAAAAACTAAGAGCTGGCTGAATTGAGTAAGAAAAAGTTGCAGTGGTTCTAAGCAGATGTCCTTAGTAGAGGCCCTGTTTCAGTTTTCTCTGCTGTTCCAAGCAATAAACACATTGACCATCATTAGGGCATATGGTCTCACTGAGGCCTCGCTAATTATGTAGGGTGGTTTTGCTTGGCAATACTATGAAGAATCAGAAAATCTAATTTTCAGTCAAGTTCTATCCTTTCTAGCTGAGGCCTCCTCTCACAAACAAGATCCCACTGTGTGATGTAGTTTAAGGAGCTACAGATAGATGGAGGGTTGCCTCACAGCTTTGTACTTCTATTGGCAACAAAAACCTTACACACAGTAGCACAAGAACCCAGCACTTGTGTCTCATCAGAGGCCCAGAGAGAATCATTTGTCCAAACTGAAATAACTGTTAAGAGGAAGAGCCAGGACTTGAACCCAAATCTTGTATAAAAGCCAAAGAATAAATAAACTTTGCCACATTTATTTTGTACTTTATGCCTTATAACTTAAGCTAAGCCCAGTATAAACAGAGGGAGGGAGGGAAGGGGAGAGAGAGGAAGAAGGAGAGAGACAGGGAGAGAGGAGAGATTGAGATTGAGAGTCAAGCTGGCAAGGTATATTTGCTTTAATTCTTATACCAAGAAATCTTTCTCATATCCTAACCTGAGAAGAGGGTAACTGCATAGCTCCAGCTGGGCCAAGTAATAGACCAGAATCTTACATTTCTGTGGAGTAAATAATACCGTAATAACAAACTTTGATAAAATCTACACACACACACACACACACACATACCTGCCACCCACTAAACTTCAAAATACCTGGAAAGACAGAGACAACATATTTTCTTTTGCATCCAGCTCAGGGTCTCTCTGAACCCCATGCATGAGCTGTTTAAGTGATCATAGACCACTGATTAACAATTTATGGCCTAGATGATCCTCCTCCTCTGTAGGAAACACATTTCCTTTCCTCCCCTCTGAATTTCTGAGCCAGAGAGATCAGCAGACTTCTCAGGACAGATAATGTAAACCAGGGACTGGCAAATTCCTTTGTAAAGAGCCAGATAATAAATATTGTAGGCTTTGTGGGCCATGCATTCTCTTTTGCAACTACTACACTCTGCCATTGTCTCAGGAAAGAGACCAAAAAAACAATAGGTAAACACATTGAAACATCCGTGGCCCACAAGGCCATAGTTTGCTTCCCAATGACATAGCATTGTGAAGGTGAAATTCTAAAGTTACTAGTCTTTTGTGGTACCATTTTGGTTGAGCATCAAACAGTTTTTACCATATATTGGCCTTGGTTGAAATCTCTGCTCAACTACTTACTAGGTCTATAACCTTAGAAAAAGGCCTTAATCTCTCTGAGCTTCAATTTCCTCATCTATAATGTGGGAGATACATTAATACTACCCATCTGATAGGTTGTTGAAGGGATAAGATGAGATAATCTTTGGAAATGGGTGCTAGCCCAGCGCTTGATTCAAAACGAGCGCTCCTTAAGGTCAGCCATCCTAAGTGTGGCATCCTGAAGCCTCAGGTCAAAGTTATGGAGAGTGACAATTTCTTCTTAGCTATCTTTCCTGTTAACCTTTGGCCGAACACCACAACTTTTTGTAAAAATGATTGTTACCTAATCAGGAATTTGGAGATGGTTCTCCTGACCTATTGTCCAGTGATGCCAACAAAACAAATCGATGTTCTGCATGACTTGGAGATACGCCCTATAGAAGTGGCCTTTGTTGTTATTTCTGTTATTTTTCAAGTCTTCTGCAAATGAGGGTTGTGAGGGAAAAATACAAAGTGCATGAATTAAGATCCTGAGTTGAAAGGGAGATTTTTTCATAGTCATTATTGTAATTATTAATAGGGTTTGGGATCTGGCCATATAATTTATGAATGCTACATTTCCTTGGGGAGTAAATATGTGTAAAGCTGCATGTTTCCGTTAAAAGTTGAGAGTACTAAATCATAGCACCAAGAAAGCAAACTGAGAAGTCTGGCCGGGTGGGGAAGAGCAACCTGGCCAGTTACAGGGACATGGAAAGTTTTGCCTTTGGCCAGCTGTTTATTTGCCCTTTTTTTTTTTTTTTTTTACAAAATGTTCATTGTAAAATGAGAGGCCGGAAAATCACAACAGAAAAACAAAACAAAAACGCAGAGAGAACATAAAGGTCAAAAGCAACAATGGGAGAAGCTGCAGGTTCGCAGGATTTCAGCAGCCCCACCCTCGCCTGCTTGCCTGCTGTGAATATTATTACCTCCTCTCTCCGTCTCTGAACAATGTCCCGGTCTCCCCAAGGGCCGTGTTTCCACAGGCCTAGTTGTCTATTCCTGAGTGAAACATAAAATTAGACAACTGTGCAAATCACACAGAGGGGAGGATCCCTCCCAATAAATGTGCCAGTAATATTCATGCTGAAATCGAAGTTTCCTTTTAAACCTACCTGTTACCATGTACTATTCAGGTCTGGATAGAATAATCAGAAAGTTTCCTGGAAAGAAACAGGATTTTTTAAAGCCATTACTATCACACTGACCCAGATCCTGCCCTTGTGACCATGCTCACTTTGGGTAATGTCCATTTTAAATACTCTGTTAAAATCCCAGCTGTGTGTGGCAGCTGGTGGGCCTCACCATAGGGGATTAAAGGAAACCGATGGTTTCATTGGCGCACGGGAACATCAGCCTTTGTAAATCTTTCCAGAGAGGAAAGGATTCCTCCAATCTCCTCCCTGGGGGTCCAGTCCTGGCTGTCAGCATTAGAGAGCTTTATGTGGGGGAGGAACTTGGGGAATGCCAGTGTTCAGAATACAGATTTTCACTTAATGTACCTTTGAGGTACAGCTCTTGCCCCTGACTTCACCTGTACCTGTTCCCAAGGGCAGGATCTCGGATTCAGCTTTCCTGGCTGGGATAGGGAAAGAGGAGTTGAAAAAAGTCACTTGGATGTGCAGGGTAGGGAAGAGAATCAGGAGTCTAACTGCTCCTGATACAAATTTATGGTCCATCTGTTCGCAGACTCATCCTACAAAAAAAAAAATAAAAACCTGCCTACCCACAGTACCTTTGAAATCGCCAAAGCAGCCATATATAAATTTGGAGTCTGCTGCTTTTTATAAAAAAAAAAAAAAAAAATACGTTTTTATTGATTTTAGAGAGAGGAAGGGAGAGGGAGAGAGAGGTAGAAACATTGATGAAAGGGAAACATCGATGGGCTGCCTCCTGCACTGGGGATCGAGCTTGCAGCCTGAGTAGGTGCCCTGAGCGGAAACTGAACCGGAGACCTCTTGGCCTGCGGAAGGACGTTCAGCCAACTGAGCCACACTGGCCAGGCTGCAGCCTGCTGCTTTTTGATAATCTGTTGCTCTTGGATTGGTCTCTGGCTTCCCTGTTCCTCAAGCATCCAGCCAGCGGACTTTAAGGGGGTCAATCTTTGCTGGTCCTATGGGCTATGGCACTAAAAGTTCAGCAAAGGTCCCAATGCCCTAACATATTCCCCCAACAGGTTTTAGCACTTTATATGAAATTCTCCTATTAATCTTACTTTTAAATTAAAAAATAATTGAAAATATGTTATCTGGAAGGTATGGTACATCGAAGTGTAATTGCCCGGAAGCTAGGTTGTCATCCTTCCCCTTCCTCTCTGTCATTAACTGTCCTCCTCCTGCATGAATCCATGTAAGTTCAAGAGTTTTTTCTCCACATAGCCCTCAAACCCATGTCCTTTCGTCATTCCCCTGCCGCTACCTCCTTGCAGGTGAGAAGACAGCGCCTCTAGAACCAAACTCCTTGGGTCAGAATCCCGTATGTGCCACTTCCCAGCTGTGTGATCTTGTGCAGGCTAATTTTGTGAGGCAGTGCAAGTGACAAACTGATCCTCTCCTGCTCCCCACCCCCTCCACGCATCATCTTCAAAGCTTTGCTGTTACCCTGTAGGGGTTCCCAGGTATTTCGGTAGGGCATCCCGAGCAGAATAATAAGTGACTGTATTAGCAAGGTTTTTAACCTTTTTGACAAAAATCTCATTTCCTTATCTGCAACCTATAAATACTTATGGCTACATTTATTTAAAAATAAATAAATAAATAAATAGCTTAGCCCTGGCTGTCGTGCTCAGTTGGTTGGGTGTCGTCTGTGCGCTGTAAGGTGGCCAGTTCAATTCCTGGTCAGGGCACATGCCCAGGCTGCCAGGTTGCAGCCTCGGTCCCCAGTACGGGGGGTGCAGGAAGCAGCCGATGATGTTTCACTTTCATGTGGATGTTTCTCTCCCTCTCCCTTCCTCTCTCTCTAAAAATCAGTAAAAATATCTTTTAAAAAAATAACTCAGACCTAGTCCATGGGAAATGTTAATTTTCAATGAAACTTAGTAGGTAGGCCAGTCAACATTCCTCCTATGATGATTAATTTTTGTAGATAATCTCAATTTTTTTTAAAAGAAGGCTATAAGTGAATGAAGGAAGCAAGGAAGGAACAACTTGAATTAACCCGAGCGCTCAGGGTTGTTCTCCGGCGACTCCTCCATTCCCACGTCCGGCCGCCTCTGCTTCATGCTCAGGTGGCGTGACTGTTCATTGTACACAGCTGTGCACTTCCTTCACTGTTTTCCATCGAAGCATGTTTAGTAACATATAATTCACAAATTTTGGAAGGCTTTACTTAAAAGGGTGCGATGGATGTTTCAAATGCAGGGTCATGAAACTGTGGGGAAATATGAAGGAAGCTGCCCTGGCCGTGCGGCTGGCTGGCTGGAGCATCGTCCCGGACACTGAGAGGTCGCAGGTTCGATTCCCGGTCAGGGCGTGCACCTGGGTCGCAGGTTCAGTCCTTGTTCTGGTAGCGTAAGGAGGCAGCCTGTCGATGTTTCTTTCTCACATCTATGTTTTTCTCTCTCTCTCCCTCCCCCCTCTCCCCCTTCCCTTCTCTCTAAAAATCAATAAAAACATATCCTCGGGTGGGTAATGATTAAAAAAGAAAATAAATGTGAAGGAAACTGATGACATTCCTAAGCAGTGCTCTTTGTTGCTCTTTTTTTTGAAAAATTAATTCTAGGTCTGGAGTTCAGACTCTGCCCCACAATGCCAAGGTTCACTACAACTACGCCAATTTCCTGAAGGACCAAGGTCAGAACAGGGAGGCCATCTACCACTACAGGACGGCCCTCAAGTAAGCGCCATGCACCATCAGGGTGTCACTGCTGAGCCTTTTGGGCCTTTGTATTTCACTCTCCCTGCCCCCAGTATGGGGGAGTTGGCAGTGACTCTCTCGTGACAGTGAACATCTCCCCGGAGGTGGTGTGGATCTTGGGTTCTGAGTCTTATGGCTCAGTGCTCACGTCTGTTATACATGTGGTAACTCTACGTAGCCTCTAACTCGATGCTTTCTTTTAAAAGTTTCCACTGCTACACACTGCAAAATGAAGTGGTGCTCAGTTGAATATATATACATGTGTGTGTGTGTGTGTACACACATATATGCAGGTAAACAAGAGTTGGTTATCAAAATATACTTGTAAATTCTCAGGATATTTACTCCAATGAATTGTTCCCACTCTAGGTTTCTGACTGTCTGAAAGGATTTATATGAAGACATTTGAGTATGCAAATATGGCTTGAAATATGACTTTAAGGGAAACTAAAAATTCAAGTTCTGTGTTACCAACGGCAGCCTTTACTGCTCTTATGTACTCTTGAAAATGGCACCTCTGACTTTCAGAATGGTCTTCTCCTAAAGGTCCCAGATAATGAACATATTTAACCTGGAACGTGTGGAGACGTGATAACACACAGCCCCAGAATCTCCAAATGTGGGCAAAATAAAGCAGGGTGAATCCTCTCTTTTATTGAACACCAGGAGGCTCACCGAAGCTTTTTGAAGAGTTTCCCGTGCCCCACAGATTGGCCCATATGTAAACCAAACAGATATATTTCACTAAAGGGCCAACTAGGATTGCCTCAAAGCTCAGTTTGAAATTGTCATTCTTAAAGTAACCAGCCTGATATTTTAAAAATATCCTTTGAACAGTGTTCTGCTCAAATGTGCTGTTCATCAGTCAACATCTGTTAGACTTTAGGACCTGTTACTTAATGTTTGGTATGGCAAAAAATTTCAACTGTCACATCAAGTTCGCTATCAAATACTTTCCCAAAGATGACAAGAAACATTAAGTTCTGGAAGAATACTTGTAACAAAGCTTCTATTGAGGAATATACGTTTTTATGAAAGACTAGAAGATAGCTTTTAAGATTTTAAAGAATTATATTCTTTCACTGAAAGGCAGTTTACCCAAATGTTTACAGTGCTTATCTCTGGTTGGTAAGATTATGGCTTAATTTTTTTTATACGTCCTTTTGTGCTCCATATGTTCACAATGGGCATGTATGGCTTTGGCAGTGAGGAAATGTCCTTTTTAAAAAGGCATATTCCTTCAAAGATACACATAAAATGTGTTTTGGCTTTAACAATTCATGTTTCATGATTTCTAGGTGGCATTCTTAAAGCAAAGAAAAAGCAGTAAGTTTGTGTGAAAAATATTGATTGGAAGGATGTTATCAGTATCTTGTAAAATTTGTTTTATTCTAACAGATTATTTTCTCTCAAGTTCACACAGAAAAAATATGGCAGACCCTAAAGCACAGCTTGGGGCAAAGGTATAAGTTAAGTAAACTCTCTGGCAGGTGATTTTACTGAATTATGGTAGCCAGTTGGGTGCTTCAGCTTCTCTCCCATGAAACAATAAAAATAAATGTTTACTTCGACAACTGTGCTTCTGGAAGAAACATGTCCCTTGAGAAATGGGGAAAGGCAGTTAAAGCTATAAATATATTGCAGGGTAATTAGTGAAACATTTCAGTCTCTCAGACCAGGCTCAAAAATACTTCTGATTTAAAATAAAGTATCATTATTTTTGTGTGGATACCTCCGTGCTGAATTTTCAACAGATGTGGGTGGTTTTGTGTTTTTAAATTTAAATAAATTGTCACTCTGCATTAGAGAGAAAAGGGAAATACCAGGACTGTTCAGCATTGACCAACTTATCCTAGGCGACTGGAAGACTGCCCTTGTTTTGATATTGCTATTTCTTTGTGGAAGTTGCTAAGACAGGGATTTCCCCCCCTCCCAACTGCTCCACCTGTTTCAACTTCAGTGTATTTGATGTTTTCCATATTTGCACACAGCAAGAAAGAAGGATTAGGGAGATGCAGGGTTGAAGGTGGTATTAACTGAAATCAGTCCCAACAATTTCTCATTCCTATTGTAACGAGTATACAGATTCCAGTGGGAATAGTGAAATTCATCATTAGGGTTGTATCAATACCAGTATCTTTTTTGCCTGGCTTACAGTTCTAAAAATAGCACTGTATTAGATTGATAATTCTATACAACATGGATATTCTGTTTCTTTTAAGCTTTATTCTATTTTTTTTTAATCATGTAGAAGTCCCACTGTCTTCTCCTTCCTTTTAGAATATCTTATTTATTATATTTCTGTAGTACAAGGGAAATCTCCCCCCAAAAATGCTACAGCTGAGGTTATAGATTCAGATTAAGACTCACATCATCAAAGAAAAAATGTCAGAACCCTTTCCTTAAATCCTCAATAAACACAAAATGTTAGCTTCACTTTGCTGTGAGGGGTAGCTCTCATGTTCATACCTGTTCTGGGATCTGTAAGGCATGGGATTCTGTATGCTGGAGAATCAGAAGAGGCCTGGTGGATCTGCCATGTACCTCCAAAGCTTTCTGACCATTGAGTTACCCTGGGGAAGGTTTCTGCCGTTCCACCTCAGGTGGTGAGAGTAGAAAGTCTAGAGACTACCCAATATCTCAGCTTTTCCTGCACAAGCTCTCCCATGAAATGCCTCATCCCATAAATCCACATGGAGACAGTGGCCCTGCCTGGTAAGGTGCAGAAGACACTGAATGTGTACTTGGCCGGTGTTCTGTCTATTAACTTAAAAAGTCCGTTACAGGTGAAGAGTTATAAAACAAATCATGCATGCTCTTGAACGTTTTATCGAACCCTAAAATTGCACATGGACATTTATTTACCAACCTTCTAATATCAAACCAAATCCTTTTCTTTGAGTAAGAGTCTCCTGATTAGAACCTGCAAAACCACACCCATAATTCATTTCTCTGATGATCAGTTTTGATACTTTAAAGTGGAATAAAAATTTAAAGACTATTTGAGATTTTTCTGATTATTCTTGTCTTTTACAATGATCTCATGCAAATCTAATTCAACAGCAATTTTCTGAGCAACTTCTCTTTTGGAAGTGTTTCCAGAGTGTTTGCTTACTTTCCATAGAAATAACAGCTCTGTTTTTTATATTTATATTTTATCATTTTGCAAAAGATTTTATTAGATTGTGTAATTGCAATAAAAGCTGCAAGTAGAATAAGTTTGTTAATAAACACAACATACTCTAGCAGCCATGCAACTGAACCCATGGGAGCAAAAGGAGCCAGGCTTACAGAGAAAGTTTAAGTTGTGGATATACACAAATATGTTTTACAGAGAACATCTAGGAATCCGATGACATAATTAGAGACTAGTGTAAAAGAGTTTTCACTGTAGGTGATAGAGTCATGGAATCTAGAGTTTCTCACCTTATGTTTAAATTCCCGACATGACTCAATTACCAGTTGGCTAAAATGGCCTGGTCATCAGAAATCCTGCAGCTGGTTATGAGAAAAGAGTTTGCCTTTGTGCAGGTGGGTCAGGAAGGGCTCTCCATTGTGAGCGGCAAATCATCCTAGGTTCTGTGGAACATTTGTTCACCTAGATGCCCCCTTCCTTCCCCCCTCCTAGGATAATACCCTGCCGCACCCAGGTTTGCTGATGTGTCCCAGGTGTTCGGATATCAGCCACGTGCAGGATTCCATCCTGATCAAAGGGCTGTGGTCCTCAGTCACCCAGACAACTATTTTCACAAATATGATTTTGACATGAAATACGCAAGAAATCATCCTAAGATTTCCCCCCTCCCATAATCCTATCATGTAAGAGATGCAGTACCTTGCCCTGGGGGCACTCAAGTATGCTGGGGCAGCCATGGGACCCTTAGAGCCCCCTTGGCCACTGCTAATGTATCTGTTATTGACGATTTAAACAGAAAATCTGAAGGGAGAGAAAACTATTCAAAGAAGGTTGAAGTTCCTGACCAGGTTCTTTTCTGTGGGCATAACCGAAGGGAAGGAATGCACTTTTAATTCCCTTGTACAAAAGAAATCTACTCTTGCTACGTGACTGGCTAATGCATGGGAAAGAATAGACCAAACATATTTCTGATTGGAATTTTTTACTGCATGAAATAAAGACTTGTCATGATAGTAGTGCCCATGGATATCATTCTTTGTATCCCCTCCTATGTGGATAATGAATCCCCAAGGAGATCCCATTAGATTGCAGTAAGTGTGTGTGGAAAATGGGAAGTCATAAAGGAATGAGTATTGAAGAAATGCCCTATCATTAGAGTCTAAAGAAGCCCAACCACATCTAACTAACCCACTGTTCACTGATGGCCTGAGTATATCAATAAGATGACTTTATTATAATTCCTTCGAAAAATGCTATCTATAAAATTGGGGGAGTTTGAACATTTTTTAAAAATCAGAATTTATGTAAAAAGTCCTTCTTTACACGGCTTATTTTGAATGAACATTTGAAATAACTCTTATGACTACAGGTGGCCTTGGATACCAGCTGCTATGTATTTCTGGAAAGAATTAAAATTCCAATACCATTTGTTAGCCAGGTTTGAGAAGCGGAGATGGTTCTTCTCATGTGGTATTTTCACTCATAAAAGTCTAAGTAAGCTTTCCAGTATTATAGGCAGACACTTGAAATTATTTTCGTTCCTTCTTGATGAAATTATATTCTCACTGTATATATGTTGTGCTAAGTCTCAGTTTTATTCATTAATGTAAGAAATTAAACATTATTTCATTTAGAAAAAATAGCGTTTTCGTCATATTGTGGACTTACTTATGGACCACATTCCCAAATGAAAGTTCCATAATTTATACTGCCCTCCCTGTGTTTTTTCTGCTTTATACAACTCTTTCACTTCAAAACAGTGGAGGGCAGAGATTTGCATGCAGGAAGTTTATTAAGGAGAGCTCTCTGAAACACCGAGGAAGGAAGCCAGGGAAGCAAGATG